TGCCTTGTTTTCTAAATGTAGTACCTCCTTTGGCTTCAACTTGGCCATTCTACAGACTCACTTGACTTTGTTCACAGGGTGTTTTATCAGAGACCGTTGAGAAACTAATAAATCCTCTGTGGTCCTGTTGGGCCTATACTCACTCTGGCAAGATCTTGTGTGACCCACAGCTGCTAACAGTCCTAACTTCCTGAGGTGCCCTGCATTCTGTATCCTGGCTGTGGACGATGTGGCACAGGTGTGACATAAGGAGGGAGATGTTAGCCAGTCACTTGAAACTTTCAAACTTTGACTTTCTTAAACTTACTCTAAAGATGAAGATCACAGCTAGAGACATTAAACCCTTTGGTTTTCAACTTATTTTCAGTTTAGCATAAAAAAGTGATTAATTTTTAGTTTAGAGTTCTCCCTAGTGGACTTGCAGTCAGAAGGAAATTTGTTCAAAAGTGTGGAGTCTCTGAATTGTTGGGATTTTATATTTGAAATGCACTCATGTGTTATATTAGCAAAACTCAAAGTGCCATTTGATTTCACCACACAATCTGGTAGACTGTTAAATAATATGACAGACCTAATTAAGATGGCAAAAGTAGTGAGGATTCAGAGGCCTGGATATGTAGAGGTCTTGGAACTTATTTCATTAATGTATTTTATTTATGCATTTTATAAGCTCTTGTGAATAAAATCTACATTTGCTCCACTGGTACTGAGAAGATCCATAAAGAAGTACTGATTGGCACTATGGGAATGACGTTTTACAAGGATGGCTTATGCTAGCACTCCTTTTCTATAATGAAATTCCTGAAACAAGTTACTCATGGAAAGGCTTTTTAGCCCACAGGTTTGGATGTTAGAGTCCATGTGGTATAAATAGACCGCACATGAGGGCCACTCCCTGCATGCATTGCCTCATGGCACAGCAGCAATGATGGGAGTGTGTACAGCACGAAGCAAGTGATCACTTCTCAATCCAGGAGCAGAGAGCGGCTGGAGTCCCTCCATCCCTTCTGAGGACATCTTTCAAAGATCTATGGGCTTCCAAAGAGGACACAGCACAGATTTTGGTTCAAACCTATACATATTTTTACCATAAACAAATGGCTATGTACAATGGGGTGAAAATGTAAATCTCTGGAGAATGAAGTGTGTGCAGAGTAGTCCTTTTAAATGCTAAGGTTAGTTTCGTGGTCAGTGGAATAATGATCTTGCCTCACTGTGTATCTCCCACTTTCCTTTTATATGATGTGAACTGTACAATTCTGGAGAATTTTGAATGAAAAATGCATAGTGCAGTCTATGCCCACTCCCAAACCCTTCTTCTTTGTTGCTACCAGAAAGAAGCTTACCATCATGTTCTGCTCGTCTGTCCTGAAAATTTTATAGAGCAGTTCCACACAATAGAGCTGACGTGGTCTGGTACCCAAGGTGAATGGGTTTAGAATCTAGTGCTCATGTTTAGTGTCAGGATTTACCCCTGTCCACAGATAGATCTGTGTTTCAGTTCACAAATGTAATTCATTCCACAATTCTGGGTAAGATGCTTGAGCTTGTGTGGGGAAGACTGTCAAGGTCGTACTCATCACCTCATGTGGAGTTCACTAATAGAAGCACAATTTTTCCTAATACTAACGTTTGCCAACTGAATTGTTGGTGAACAGAGTGTTTGTGTGCCAAGCCATTACTGTGTATGGTGTATTGTCCAATATTAACTTTATTTGTTTGTCCTCATTTTTTAATTAATTTTATTGAGAAAAAAATTGCAATGAGTCTCAAAGCAGGTTGGTAGGAGTCATATCATACTGATATATGGGTACCTATGTTTATAGCAGCACAGTTTGTGATAGCCAAATCTTGGAAACAACCAAGATGCCTGTCACTTGAAGAATGGATGGAGAAAAAGATGTGGTATTTTTATACAATGGAGTATTACTCAGCTATAAAGAATGATAAACTCGAAACCTTCATATTAACTTTATTTGTGAGAGGGAGATCTATCATCTATGTTTTTTTAAGACAACTTGCCTGAGTTTAAAGGAAAAAAAGAAAAGAAATGTAATTGAGCTTTAGTTCTGAAATGCTAAGGCTAGAATAAGGGTATTTTATTTCTTAGGTAATAAGAGAAGTCAGGACTCTTTGTCCTCAAAATATATCCCTAAATGTAATATTTTTTTAAAAATTGTCATATAACTATAATGTAAAACTACCCTTTACCTAAGAATATAGATTTTTCTTGGAGGGGCATAGATTGAACTAAATATTGCTCATTCAAAATTTCCCAGAATTGGACAATACATATGGTATAAAAGGAGTGAAGGAAATATACAGTGAGACAAGATTATTATTCCACTGACCATGAAACTAACATTCAGGATTTAAAAGAGATGAATAACTTGGAAAACATAAAGTGACTGATTAAAGTGATGTGGGAATTATTTCAGGAGGGCCTGAAGTATCCTTACCTCATACCTCCAGCTCTGGCACTCTTCCGGCTTCCCGAAGCTGCCACGGTCACACTAAATCCACTCCACTCCACTATGCCACAGAATGCTTTCTTTCTACATTTCCAGCCCTGAATTAACATCTCTAGCACAACATGGGCTTTCACAGCTCTCCTTGGTGTCATAATTGGTGAGCACTGCTGTCAAACACTATGATCTTTAAATTCAGAAGGCAGGACAAAGTGGTCTGCTTCCAGGAAGTAGTTTTGAGTCCATCAGACCCTTAACTCAGTCTATCACCCAAAGATAAAGACATCCTGATGCTTCCTTTTGCTTTGAGGAAATGCAACAGGACCTTAAGCGTGCTGCCATCTCCAAGTGGGAAAACTCCAGCTATGAGGGACGAGCCTGGGTCCCTGTTGCCTGCTTTCAAGTGTTCTGAAGAAGCTTAAGATAAGCTCTTGTTCCAAGAAGCTCCAGTGAGCAAAGGCTGGATAGTAAATGGAAATCACAGGCTGGGATATTTTTCTTTCATTAGAAAATAACATTCCAATGATACAGCTGTCTTTCTGTGATATGAACTGCCTCAGTAGTGGGAAATGACCTTGGGTCACCTTACAGTGAGAGGTCATTCAAGGAATTCATACTCAGACCACAAAAATCAAGCCAAATCCTGTTGAATCTGGAAAATTCATAACCCGATAAGCATTTCCACCATAAACAAGAGACAAAAAAAATTGAATTCAACTTTTGGGAGAAGAAAAATTTAATATATTTTATCTTATTATACATTTCCCCTAAATTACAAAGTCAACAACTGCAAATATATTCTGCTACAAAGCCTTCTGTAAGAAATATCTCTATAAGAAAATACATCTCATAACATTTCCTCTAAATAAATTACTTCAAATAATAATTTTTGAAAAGGTAAACATAAGGAAAATAATACAGGTCCAGACTGCAAGTTAGTGGCTACATAAGAAATGACAGGTGGAAATGTTCCCATTTCATGTCACCAAGCTGGTTCAACCTGCTGGCACCAACTCTGGTTCTTGGATCAAGTAGCATATAATTCATGGTTTTGCAGACTTGTGGGGAAATTGTAAATCTTCATCATCCCAGTAAATATGTATGCGAAGCTAAAATTGTCCACACAGGCTCTGATTCATTTTCTATAACGAGAACTTGAATTGGAAGTTGCAGGTAGTGTAGCTATAACAAAACTCAAGAGTGACTATCTGTCCATAGAAGTTTCCAGGTAGAAGTATAAAATAACCTTTTTGTTCTCATATGCTGTAGGTATGAGATTTAGAACTAAGTTAAATAAAAAAAAAATATAATGTTTACAAAAGAATTTTGAGACTGTTGTTTCTATGGATTACTGATATGTAGGTTTCACAAGTTATTATCCTTTCTAACTTTAGTGGCTGTGGAAAGCAGAAATGATGTCTTTGGTAGTGAAATAGCTATAGCAGAGACAGCGAGATGCAAACACCTCTCCAGAACCCCGGGGTCAGTTAGAAGCTTGATGAGGACAAGAATCTCACCGTGCTACTTGCTTTGGGGGTCCACTTCTTGAGACCACCTCATATTGAGAGTATTTTGGGACCTCAAAAATATAAAATAAATATTTTAAGAGGGGACAAGGAAAGTGACCTTACACTGAACTCATCTACATGTAAATATTATGATAGCAAATCCCACAGAGAATTTCCCTTAGGTCGGACAGCCTCTGATTTCAAAGATGAACAGTCAGCGTGCGTCACACGTATGATCCATCTGTGCTCAGACCCTGGACAGTTGGCACAGATTCTCCACATCTTCTGCTGTACTTTGGGACAGAACAGTCATCATTCTAGTCTTGGTTATCAGCCTCACCCTGCCCTACCCTCGAGTGTGTAAACAAAACATATTTACCTCCAATCCTATCAAAAGGTATGCATGTTAAAGCTTTAAAAAGTAATGATATCTCCATTAGCTTTGTTTCTCACATATTTTAGACAGCTTTACATTTTTTGCCATCTACAAAGATTCTGTTCTGTGCATGTATTGTTTGCACTGGTCACAATAAGTATGGTTTGAAAAACAAATGTATTCAAGGTAGGACTCTCATCTAACCAAGAGAAACGAGATGGCATTCTTTCAGAATCAAAGAATCCTAAGTATATTGTATTGCTTTAGTTATAGGTGAAATTAATTTTTTAAATGTAAATAAACAACTTGAGGGGAAATCAACTTGTCATTTTTCTAAAGTCCTTGACTGCTTTGTTCTTAAAGCCATTAATTGAGCTATGGAAATAGGCCAAGTTAAAAACTGATTCTGTGTTGTGGATTAACTTAAGCTGTATGTTTTCATTTCCTGTTTATCAGCTGTGTTCACGTCTTAGAGCTTACTGTAGGTCAGGGCACACAGAGTGCTTTACTAAACTGGTAACTGAACAGCTGTGTGGCTTTTAGGCTAGTTCTATCGGCAATCACCAAGCTGAAGGCATCTCTCCTCCAGCACAAGCTAACTCTTGGTAAGCCACATGGCACTACTCATCAGTACCTTCCACGGTGTGCTTTTTTTAATAAAGCATTTTCACAAATGTGTACATTATTTACATAAACCAGTGGCATAGTGGAAACACCATGGCTGCTCTGTACTTGCCACCCACCTAATCCACTCAATTCTTTATTTTCTTCTCTCTCTCCGCTCTACATTCTTATCCCATTCAACATTTTAGCCATTCTCCTGAATTCCAAACCTTGTTTCCTACCATGCCATAATGCATTAAATACACAAATTCACAGTCTGCTGGTGATGCTTCTCCTTGGTGGTGGTCAGATCTTCTGACACACATGCAGTCTGGCTTTGGAAGAGTAGGTGGCATCTTTCCATACTTTGCAAGACAGGCCCTTGGCACAGTCACACCGCTGGAAAATTTCAAGCCCATGAGAGCCCTTCTTGCGCTGTTTTGTGCAGACTTCTCCCTGGTGGAGCACTGGCTTGCAGATTTTTGTCCAGAAGTGACGAGCGCAACAAAACCCTTCCATGCAGTCTGAGGATCGCAGACAGGGGTCTCCTTCATGCCCTAGGGAACCACAGAATCAAAAGACAGCACCATAAAACTCCACAATGGGAGGTAAATATATTGCCTTTACTTATACCGTTGTCTAGGAAGTTACCATTTGATTCATACCTATGGGCTGTCCCTTTAATCATATAAATCCATCATCCATTTCCATTATTTGCAATCTGAATATCAAATTTAATTAATAGCTCTTGTTCCTTTACTTTGTCATGACCCACTTTTAGATAGTTCCCTGATCATTAAGTTTTATACACCAAGTGAGTGGGAAATAGGTAAAAATATTGATTTTTTTTTGCAGGTCTTGTACTTTCTTTGCAGGTCTAAACAAACCTCTGAATCAAGAACAAGGCTAAAATCTCTAGGAACTCCTATTATCATATACTAGTGGGAGTCCAATCAAGAAAACAGAGCCTAGGTATTTAAAATAGTTTATTTAGTTCAAAGAATTGGACACACTTGTAGTGATGGGTGAAAAGTTACCATAAGCATCATATCTAGCTGATGTCAGCATCCTAGTTTGGACACGTCAGCTGAAATGGAATCTTACCAGGAGCTGAAGCCACAAGGAAGCCCAGCCCTGTGCAAGGCATTGCCCAGCATAAGTGTGCTAAGGTCAGCTGGTGCATCTGACAAAGAGCTCAGGAAATTCAGTCTACCAAGAACTGCGAGACAGCAGAGTGGAGAAAGGCCAGTCAGCCTATCTGAGGATGAACAAGCTCAGGGGAAACTAAGCATTCATAAGCAGGTAGAAAAATAAATCTGGACACCTGATTCAGAAATAATGTTAAGTCAGCAAGTATGTCCCCTATATAAAGACAAAACTGATATATAACCTGACCACCCAGGGGATTCCAAACTTCTCTGTCAAGTTCCAGATAGTAAATAGATTAGGGTTTTAAACCATAGACAGGGCCTAAATGAGTGAAAAATTCTGAGCTCCCCAAAAACCTGAATTTACCAAAAATAGGCAGCAGGCAGATGGAGCCACAAGCCTACGTGTGTTTACACATGATCTGAAGGCTTACCTATGCTCCTACTGTGTGACCAGGGCATACAGCCAAGAAAAAATGCTTATTTCTCAATTGAAAATTGTACACATAATTAAAGATGATTAGTAAAGTTTGAATTATGCTATAAAAATGAAATCTGTTGAAATACAGACATTTCTATAGCAATAAATGAATTTGATAGACCATAAATAGAAGATATAGAATTGAATTCAGGACTTCAAGGAAGATTAAAAAAAAAAAAAAAAAGCAGATCACTTATGAAGAACTGTTTGTTAGAACCTTCAGAATTGAAATGTTTTTAAAAAAGAAAAAACAGGCTTTCTCATTACTGGGCATCTCAGAGCCTTATGTTCATTCCTGTTTATTGTACACTTCCAAGGGCAAGATGCTGTCATGCAATCCTCTTGTGAACAAAGGTACTTTCATTTTCATAGAACACCTTTAAAGAGTAGAGCTCTACAAAATTCACTGGGGAAAAGGCCTCCTTAAAAATAAAGGAGTTTCATACTTTAGAATCTTTACTACTACTAAATTTCAAAAGTTTCCTGTTCTGCAAGTTTACTATTAGTAATCCCCAGCTCCACAAAAAAAAAAAAAAAAAGTTTACTATTAGTGACTAGGCTTCTGAAATATTTCAATATAAGGAAAAGAATTGCATGACCATACATAATCCCATGTTAGACCAATTATTTTGGTAGATTACTTATTGAATAATATATCATCTGCTTGATTAAAGTACAATTTGTGAATCTGCAGAGTGAAAAAAATGTTCAAAAGCTTAGTGATCTGATAGTACCAACGAAGATTTTCTCATTTACTTTTCAGAGTACTTTATCCCTGGCTACGAGCATGATAGATATGTCTGTATAAGTAAGTCCTCCTGAATTTCACATCAAATAAAAAGCTTATTGATAAAAGGCATGGTTAATCCAAATAGTGTAATTCTCAAATATTTTATGACAATGGAAGATCTAGTGTCCTCAACATTAAGAATTAATAAACTCATTTAAATCTTGCCTGGGCCAGGGATATAGTTCAGTGGCACAAAACCCACCTGAGTTCGATTCCCAGTACCAAAAAACCCCAGTAAATCTTGCCATTAATGTTCTTTCCTTATAGCTTTTGCTAGACCCATTGAAATTAATTTAGGATTATTTGCATTTTTCCTTTCCATTTGCATAAAATAAGAGAAATTAAACATAGACACACAGGCAGCGCTACCTTTTATATGTGACATCTTGGTGTGTGATCTTCCCAGATTCTGCCATCCCAAGTCATGGTTTGAGTAATGACCATGGTTTCGATCTCTGTGCCGAGTGCCATCCAGCGCTGGGATGTGTGGGGTTAGGATGCTTTCAGTGACTGGGATACAAATGCCTGTTGATAGCAACAGAAATACACAGGTTAGATCAAGCCTGTACAATGTGGTACTCATTCTGATGTGAGCTGAGAACCAAATTATCTGTCTATGTACCTGCCTACTATTTCTTTACTCCTTCATTTACTGATTTATGGAGACTAAGTATAGTATATTTGGCTCTCAGGCTATGTTTCCTTAATCTGAATCTTGTCTCATTTATGACCAAGTTACCTTCATCAAAATGTGAATGAAAACACAATTTCTGTGAGTTATTGTAAGCATTATGCAACAGGTAAGCTGGATTTTCAACTTTCTTGCTTTTCCAGCCACCTAGGAGATCAGTGAGGCATTATCCTGGGCACGTCTGTGTAGACTATGGATGTGTGACTGTGGCTACACCTGGTCCCTGGCCTCTTCCTCTCAGGCACTGTTTTCCTGCTTTGCATCCCAGCCACTATAAACTAAGTGTATTTTCTTCACCATACCATCTACTGTGGTATTTCTGCCTTAGTCAGTTGATCATGAACTCAGTCCCCTGAAACCATGAATCAATTGAAACCTCTGCTTTTCAAATTTGAGATGCCAGGTATTTGGTCCCAGCAATGAGAGAGCTAAGTCAATATATGAAGTGCTCAGAATAGTGACATGGTAAAGGATGGCATTAATGTTAGCCTCTGTTTTCAAATCACCTGACAGGACATTTACTATAAGGATTAGGGACTTTGCTTTCTAACAATACTATCTTAGTCTGCACTGCTGTCTTTCCTTATAAGCACTTCCTCCTTGACCTATCAATGTAGGTGCTCACACTGGGTATGTGTCCCAAGGTAAGAACAGGCATGCCTATAGATGAACCTCCTTTGGTATGCATGAGCGGATGTTTCTAATTACCTCTGTGATTCATGACTTCATCACAGTTTGTCTGTAACTGTTCATTTTATTACTAATGCTGAATTATATGCTTGTAAATCCACTGAGTTTGGGTAAAGCCAGGATGAGGGACAGAACCTTGGGTCTTTATTTGGAGGAACCAGTCACCCAATCACCATATGAAGGTGGCACAAGACATCTTGAAAACAAGATCTGAAGTACAAACTTCTATAAACTAGAAGGAGGACTCAGAAATGTCCTCCCGAATTATAGCAGGTTCCTTTCTTTTGCTCACTTTCATGTATTTGCTGAAGTTTCCAGCAGAGTGGAACATCTAACTATTTTATGCAATATTTCCGCTTTGCAATATCCTAAGTCAGCATTCAGCATTTAATACCTAAGTTTAAAAGAGCCCAAGGAGACCGAGATTTGGGAGGCAATCCAGGTAATCTTATAGGACCTAAATCACAATGCAATTCCTCCCCATCCTAAAACATGCTTTCTATCTCAGAAGTCTAAGTGAGGAGCAACCAGACTATTGTGTAAGGCACCTGACTTTCCAACATGAAAAAGACAAAGGCCTGGGAGCACTTGACCAGGTCTTGTACCATTATTGCAGCGGGTTCCAGGGCAGCACATGCCATCTCTATGGCAACGCTTCTTTTTCCTTCGACACACCATGCAGGCGGATGGTCCTTGATGAGGACTGTGGCAGTATCGCCCAACTTCACATTCCTTATCACTGGTACAAGGATAGGCCTAGCATCAAAGAGAACAAAAAAGGAGCAAAGATGAGATCCTGGTACACTTACAAGGCAGGACTGCATCAAATCATGATAGAAACCGAGCTGCAGCGGGCCATTCCTGGAAGGAAATGTGTCACTGTAATAATGTTCTGAATGCAGAGTTTCCATAATGACACTTCCTTAAGTAAGGAATTTGTGAATATTGCTTGTTCATGGTGACAAAGATGAAGGTGATGCTACACATACAATTTTATTGGCCCAACGTTGGAGTTAGGATTCAGCTATGTTTTATTAGTAGAACCATTAAGGGGGCTCAGTGACAACTATAGTTTTTGCATTACCACTAACAAAAGTACTGATGAAGTAGTCATCCTAGCTGTGCCATTTCCCTTCTGCTAATGGAGTGGGGGAGCGGTGAAGGGAAGGAGCTGAGAGCTGCTTGTATGCTGCTCCATTACAGGAGAGATACTTTAAGAGTAGCTGCACACAGTTCATGGTGGGAAAAAGCAAGGTGGCAAAAACACTTCCAGAATATTTTGGGGCAATGAATTGCTTGGCCTAAATAAACTGAAAAGTGTCATCTTCGTCCCTGCTCCTTCCAGTGAGTAACCAGAGATGCTGGGCTGCCACTGCACCAGCACAAGGGGAGCAGAAACACTCTCTTTGTGCACACAAGAGCCTGTCACCCATGCCCTTGGTTCACACAGAATAGCCTGTTCCTACATAGAAGGCTTCAGCAGTGTCAGATGTTATATTGAAAATAAAGATGCATGTTCTGTTTGCCTCTTGAAAGTTTTAGGAACTCGCAAAGTGTCCCTTTTTCAGACGATGTAGGGTCATACCCTGTATCAAACAAAGGCATTCAGATTTTGACACTGGGAGACTCATTTGTAAGGCTTTGTTGTTGCTGCTGTTGTTGTTGTGGACTTTTTTTCTGATTTTTCAGAACAATGGAATGTTTTCATGTGAAAAATATAAAATATATTCTTGAATGCTATGTATTTGCTTTAAGCAAACATAAGTGATATGACTATAAAACTATGGATGAAAGTGTGGTGACTGGCGAATAATTGGTGTGATTAGGGTGTTTTTGCTAGGAATCAGGCTTGTTCTTCTAACTCTGCTTGCACTGTTTATTCCTTTCCTCTTTTTCTCTCACTCTTTCACTAGTCCTTCCAACATCTTTCCAACCCCTTCCTGTCCAGAGCATCTGTGTGCATGCACTGAGCCCCCACGTGTTTTTCATTTATGTCTGGTCATCCTCAGTTAGAAAGGAAATAAAGATGAAGCGTATGTGTGAATTTGAGGGAAACAATACATTTTAGCATCATTGTAATGTCTTCTTTACCCTTAAGAGAATCACGTAGGAAAACCACTAATTTCAAATTCAAAGTGATCCTAAAGGCTTGCACAGTGGCGATGTTTAATGCATACACTATAATTATTGTAATTGGAGCCAGATAAAGCTGTAAGATGAATGTATATATTATTTCCTACTTTTCAGTTCTATCATTAGGCTTTAGAGAGACTGCACAAAGTTGATTCCAGAGTCACAGGCCATTTTTCAAGAGCCCAACTAATGCAAACAAAACAAATGTCACTTCCCACCTCACCACTCTTTCCCCAGGCACTTTACTCCCTTGTTATTAAGCCCATTAACTTTAACTGAAATACAAGTCACATGTTTCTGATTCATTTACATTCATTTCATCAAATTGTGTTGCAAGAAACATTTGATGTCTCACAAGTTTCTTCCCTTCCTCAAAAATAGGACGGGTTCTTTCAACGGAAATAAACATGTGCCACCTAAAACATCATGTGCTTATTTACCACTGAACAACAAATCTTCAGATGGTTCTGAATGTAGAATAATTACATGGCTCTCTTCCTAAAAATTTGTCTAAATGGTAGAGTGCAAAATGCTTGCTGAAAACTAACAATGCATGTATGTATGAGGAAAATTGTCAAAGAGCCTTCATCTCTCCCATTTTCAGTAGATGGAAAGTGGAAAACACTGACCTGGCAAGCAATTAATGTATAAGATGTTAGAAAAAAGGATGCACATACATGGTCATCCTATATCTGAGTGGGAACACATAAAATTATCTACATTTTTAAGAGGCCATCTCCTTTTGTCTAACATGGAAACTACATAGAAGGTATACAGCTTGATTATACTTCAGTGTGTTTTGTGATTAGCTTGAAGTAGAAATAACACAGGCAAAGAAAATATTTAGGGTTTTTATTAAGTATAAAGGGCTGTGGATATTATGAACTTGTACCCAAAATAGGAACTGAGAACATAAATCTTAGGAGAAACTCTGTGGGAATTTAAGAAATAAATTTTAATAATTTAAATGCAAAGATGTATTACATAGCTTCTAGTATGTTTATGAAACTCACAACTCCAACAAGCACTCTTTACATATGAATAAAATTAAGGAGGGATGAAATAAACTGATTGAAACAAGTTTTAAGAGAGCGAGTGATATTTGAAAGCACTCCTCGCCTTATGAAATTAGTGTCCTGGGGACAAATCGATCAGTGCTAAGTCTTCTCTTGAAATAACCAAACACGGTGCATGAGAAGCACAGGGCTAAGCCCTGAGTGGCACAGCATGTTTTCAGTGCTAGTGAGTTACTCTTGAGTACAGAGTTTTCAACAAGGCATTTTCAGCTCAAATATGAGGGCTCTGCAGCTTGCCATCTTTCCCCCTTACATTAATCATTTTAAAATGTCTGGGAATGGTATCAGGGTAGGAGCGAGACAGAGATAGAGATAGACAGATAGACAGACAGGCACAGAGACAGAGACAGAGACAGAGACAGAGACAGACAGTGTCAGAGAGGTAGGGACTTGGCCGACAATAATGATGAGGGACCCTGGAAAACGAAGACTGTAGCAATGAACAGGCTGCTAGTGGGAAATCTGTACACTCATAAAATTTCCATTCAGAGATTTTCACATGGAAAATATTTATGTTCCATTTACTTTGGCTTCCAAAGTCTGTTACTTGATCCCATTTGATGATCCCACTTGTTTGGGGCAAAAAAGTGTATTCAAGTACATTATTCTGTTTCCACTTAAAATCAGACTTCTCTTACCTGTTACTTGTTTTTGAGGTAAATAAAAAGGCTGTTTTTTTTTAACCTTCCTATGGGAATTATTAGTAGTTACTTTTAATGGCTATTCACTTACTTGGACTTTAGCTGAATAGAAAAGAGAACGCTTCCCTCTTTGCCTGATGACCAGAGATAGTTTGTGTCAAAGACAAAAGACAGTGAAAGAATTAAGGTTAGACCTTTGTGTGCTTCTTCTGCACAACTGCATCCCAAATTCAGTTTTTGAACATGCAGTGAAGCCTTTAGTTCCTTCCTGAAGCACTTGCTGTACAGCCTCAGTTTTAATTCAGAGAAAAACTTATTTGGGGTCTCTAATTATGGCAGATGATTGGCCACAAATTGAGAAGGTAGGAGAGCTATACCCAATCACACCAATAAACAAAAATATCTGCCCGACCCCATTTCAAAGCTAAAGATAGAGTGGTTTCCACAAATAGTAATGCTAGTGATTGTTACAACCACTCGTGAACTAAAATAAAATCAGACGTTAACATTTCTTTCTAGTATCAAGGATTTCTTTTAAATCTATTTCTTCTATGTTAGTTTGGAATCATCATTGAAAATTTTAACAATCATGTGAAAAGGGTCTAAGTACTTTATGAAATTAAGTACCCAGTGCTCAGTGGCAGAGCACTTGGGGATTCTGGCCCCAGCGCTGAATTTGGGGCCTCACCAGGAGGTGTGAAGACCAAAAGCAGTGTCCTTTTAAAGCATGCACAAAGGATAGGGGACAGAGGGGTGACCTGTGGGCTGCATTTAGAGATAAAAAAATAAACTTGGCCATGTCTCTTTCTAATACCAACAGCACGTCCCACTGCAGCTGTTGGAAGACAGAATACTGGCGCGAAGCATCAAGAAAGTTGTAAACAACATTTTCTCATCCCTTTTCTTGACTTCAATTTTGTGTCCATTGAAATGCAAAGCAAATCAGAGCTATATGCAGAAGCCCATATTGTGCAAATAAATAATGTTGATTAAATAATCTTTCAGTGAGAAGGAAATGTACTCGCCCCGTCTTGTTTAAACTAAGTGAGCCTTCTTTTCCTAACAATTCTCAAAACTACCCAGAGAAAGGCTCTTTCCATTCAAGGTTTTCATTTTGGATCGCATTTTTTCCTATTTTTCAGTAGCTGCCCATCTTTCAGAATTTCTAAATGCAGTAATGCAGTAATGGGACCCCCTAAGATGAATGAAATGGGGACCAGCAGTTCAGGCTTCCTGGCAGCACTGACCATTGAACAGATATCAAGCCTCAACCAAATCTTAGTTACCTCCCAGTGTTCAAAAATAATGGTGCTGTTCCTGTGTAGTGAACAAGAGGAAGGAAGAAAGAGCATTACACAGTGTTCATGTGGGATGGCCACCCATCTGGATGCTTGCAAGAGCGTCCTAGTTTTGGTGGTGTTGTTGTTAGTCAGGACAATCCCTTGTCCCCGCAAGCACTGTTTGTAACCGTTTCGGAAGTTTGCTGGAGCCAGGAAACCGTCATCAGCTGGGCAGGGAGAAGAAAGCCTGCAGGGGACAACCCAGCTGTGGGAATGAAAAACATTTGAGTAGAGAGAGGGAGGCAACATGGAAGGGATGGGATGGGAATGTATCTGGGGGCTCCAAGAGGCAACAGAAGGCTGGCAGTCACATGGGACTTGCTAAGTCTTTACACAAGAGGTGGATTTGCTTGGTGACAATATTGCACATGATAGACTTGTGTTCTTGTGGATGGGTAAGGAGCACCCTCTTGGGATGTCACTTTAATATCAAGCACTAACATTTAAACTGCAGGAGGTGCAGAGACCGAGAGCTCAGGCTGCATTGTGCAGTTGTGTGCTGGCTGTCATGGCTGTGCACTCACAGCTTTTCCTCATCTACAACTAGTCCTGTGCATTCCATAGGT